ATGCAGAAATTAACTTAATCTTGCAACTTAAAATGCATTACATCTATGTTATTCAAAGCAAAAATAGTACTGGCCACTAGTCTTGCAACAGGAAAAATAAAGTAAAACCTTTGAAAGTCAAATAAAAGCAACGATCAATCAAAATTGAAATCTTAGTTTCAAAAGAACCCAACTAGTTTAAATACAGTCCTACCTACAGCTCCATCCACATTGAGATAGTGGACCTCGGTGTTCACCTGAATAACAAACTGGACTGGACTCCCAACACTGAGGCTCTGGATCAGAAAGGTCAGAGCAGAGTCTTCCTGCTGAGGAGACTGAGGGGGCGCTCCTAATGACCTTCTCTGACTCTGCTGTGGCATCAGCCATCTTCTATGGAGCTGTCTCTTGGAGCAGTGCTGATCTGTAGCTGAGAGGAAGCGTCTGAATCAGCTGATCAGGAAGAACAGCTCTGTGATTGGATGCCCTCTGGAATCAGTGCAGGAGGTGGAAAGAGACGGATCCTAACTAAATGAACATCTCTGTTGGATAATGTTTCCCCCCCCATGCATGAAGCTGGTGCTGAACTGGAGAGCTCCTTCAGTGACAGACTGCTGCTCCTTAAATGCACCAGGGAGCGTTATCACAGATCCTTCCTCCCAGCAGCTGGAAGGCTCTAGAACCACCACCGTTCCCATCAACCTCAATCAGTTGTTCCATTCATGCTGATTCTGCACAGTTTCTACCTTCATCAGTTAAATAACCTGCTGCTGTCATTTTGCACATCTCTGATGTTGCTGCTATTTTCAAATATCCATTACTGTAAACATATCAATAGCTGGATATTGGTTATTTTTATTCTCCAGGTTCAGTTTTATATTGTTAAAGCACTTTACAGTACAGTGTTTTATGGTTTATCTTTTAACTCTTCACTATTATGTTATAATTATACATTTTTCTAAGGTGACCATTTTTTCTATTGTCTTTTTGCTGCTATAAACACAAGAGTTCCCCAATTGTGAGACAATAAATGGATTTTCTATTCTATGATTTGGAATAAAGCAGGAAATGTAGATGAATAACCTGTGCATCGAGCTCCATGATATGAGCCACCTTGTTCCAGCCAAAGCCCACAAAGCGGCGGTCATACTCAGGACTGTCCCTCCTCACCATCACATAGGGCTCAAAGTCTGCCTCCCACAACACTCTGTAGGGAGTGGTGGCAGTCCTCCATTTGGCAAAGTTAGTTGGCGCATGGCCTTTTGTCCAGACATGGTACCTATAAAGATAGAAGGAGCGTTTATGTAACAATGCTTTTATGCAACAAGTGGCAATGAAAACATTTTCTACAAATCAATTATTTGCACTATGAACACAGAAGAAACTCATTATGACTCCTGCATTGTTAAAATATTTGTCATAGTTAACATAAATTATACATTTATTGCAACAAACCACTAGTGTACAGTTTTCAGACGGTGTTATGTGAATGCTATGATTTTTAATTTTAAAAAATTTGCTTAATGAGAGACACTCCTTAGAGGATGGGTCTAATGCAGAGGAGAACTTCTATCGGTATGTACAGTACAGACCAAAAGGTTGGACACACCTTCTCATTCAAAGAGATTCAGATTCACACTGAAGGCATTAAAACTACAAATGAACACATGTGGAATTATATACTTAAACAAAAAAGTGTGAAACAACTGAAAATCTGTCCTATATTATCTGTTCTTCAAAGTAGCCACCTCTTGCTTTTTTCTTGGTTCATCACAAACTCTTGGCATTTTCTTGATGAGCTTCCAGAGGCCGTCACCTGAAATGGTTTCCACTTCACAGTAGAGACTGACACGGGAGTGGATTTTCACTCCTGTCCCGTCCCACTCCCACAGAAAAAAATTGTGACCCGTCCCGATCCCGGGCCAGAGTAGAAATCTAAATCCTGTCCCGTCCCACTCCTGGTGAAATTACTCCCACTCCCAACCCGCTCCCATTATTGTGGCGCCAGTACTGGACTTTGGGACTCCCATCCCACGGGTCACGGGATTCCCGAAAAAATGTCAGTCTCTACTTCACAGGTGTCCCCTGTCAGGTCTAATAAGTGGGATTTCTTTCCTTGTGGGGTTATTACCATCAGTTGTGTTGTGCAGAAGTCAGGTGGATACACAGCTGATAGTCCTACTGAATAGACTGTTAGAATATGCATTATGGCAAGAAAAAAGCAGCTACATAAAGAAAAATGAGTGGCCATCATTACTTTAAGAAATGAAGGTGAGTCAGTCCGAAAAATTGGCAAAACTTTGAAAGTGTCCCCAAGTGCAGTCACAAAAACCATCAAGTGCTACAAATAAACTAGCACACATGAAAGGGAGAGCAAGAGTCCCTTCTGCTGCAGAGGGAGGAGAAGTTCATCTGAGTCACCAGCCTCAGAAATGGCAGGTTAACAGCAGCTCAGGTCAGAGACCAAATCAATGCCACACAGAGTTCTAGCAGCAGACACATCTCTAGAAAAACTGTTAAGAGGAGACTGTGTGAATCTAGCCTCGTGAGACCATCCTGATCTCACGAGCTTTCAAGAATTCACTCGCTAATCAGTCTGGAGACTCTCCGTTGAAGAAAATTTGGAGCCATTCACCAAACGAACGTCCAATCAGCGTTGGCTTTGAGGAGGATTGAGGTGTGATGCAACGAGAAGCGCGACAGTTCAGTCTAAAGAACATGGCGGCTTCAGCCGATGAAACTA